CAACTGGGACCTCCCTGGTTAGCCAGGACTGCTGATAAATGATTGAAGGTGGCTTGGTGAGCACCTCCACCAGCTCCCTCCTATGGGTTGATCCCATCCAGCCCCATAGACTTTTTTGTGTGTAAGTGGTATAGCAGGTCGCTAACCATTTCCCCATGGATGATGGGGTCTTCATTATGCTCCCCATACCTGTCTTCTAGCTCAGGGGGCTGGGTACCCCGAGAACAACTTGGAGAGTCCATGGCTTTCTGCTGGGTGGATACCATTGCTCCCTGGTCGAGCTGACAGAGCTACAGCACCCTTCCTGCATGCCCTGCTGCGCAAACTGCTGTGCCGCATCCTGGTCGCTCACGCTCCCTGAGGGCTTCTTTTATAGGCGGGGGGAGGTGTGCTTGGCTGCTGTTGCTCCTGGCCCTGTCCAGGTCCCATCAGCTGCTGTTGGGCAAGCTGCAGGCTCCCAGCGGCTCTCTTGGCTCCCCCTGAATTTCCCTCGGTTCGGGACCTTCCTCGCACACTGCGCTGGAACGCTGCGCTGTGGATCGTGCCGGCACCAGAGCTGCTCGCCCCGGTGGCTGCAAAAGCCTTCCTCTTAATGTATTCCTCTTTGATTTATTGGAAAGAGGTATCTTTCTCCAACATATGAGAAACAGGCATTATGTCTTAAGTCTGTTTTGGTTCAGGAGGTAGCAGATGTCATACCAAGAGGCAGAGGTAAAGATATACAGTCAGGTATAGCACTTTCAGAAAGCTTCAGAAGGACAATCCCTGCATATTGAACCAGGAGGTTGGGTGGAAAGGACAAAAAGTTTATCATATTAGTGTACTTCATGATGACATCTGCAGTCCTTGTTTTCAGGTGGACATCCTGGCCACTTCCCAACTGCCTGTGAGAACAAGACCTGGATGCCCACCACTCCTTGGCACATTAACTTTTCCTTTGGAAAGGAACTCAGGTCTGAGGGTAGGGAAGGAGCCACAGTGACATTCACTTCTGAGGATACATACAGTGAAGACGTGGTCTGACTGCAGCAAAAAAAAAAAATCTGTTGTGGTTCAAACTTGAGCTAGCTTCTGGTTTTCCTCAAGAAACCCTCTGATGCCCAGTCTTTGAGATGCTGTCTTCAGCTGGAAAAAACATCAGAAGAACCATATTGGAAGGACAGCCTGGGAATACACCTCATTCCCCTGCATATTGCTTCTTTTTGCAGAGGAAAGTCCAGCCAGTTCTCCCCACTCCCTCAATCCTACTGTCAAGTCTTAGAAATTTCCCAGTGGGAATCTTGTGTGGGAGGGGTGGTGGTGTGCCCTGCTGGTTTTGTCCCACCTGCTCAGATAGCAGCCTAGGCAGAAAGGAAGGTTGGGTTTCTTTCTGCTGCTGACAAGCACTATGTCCATTGATGGCATCATCAGCAAGAGACGGAAAGAAAATGACAGGCATTCGTGGGGAGGGAGAGAGAAGCAAGAGTGGGAAAGAAACAGTACTGTGTTCTGTTTTCAGAAAACATCTGATAAAAATGTGTGTCCTGTGTGAGCTGGAATATTTCTGCTGGTGCAAGTATTAAAGAAGCCATTCATTGTGTCCATGGATGGCATTAGGCAGGAGAAGGCAAGACTGGTGCAGGTACCAACATCTAGCTCCTAGGATCACATGAAAGAGGAGTGGTGGTGCAGGGTTTATCACAGTTAACAGTGTATTCACCCTCTTAAAAAATCCCTCATGCCTTGGAGAGCACTGCCACATGCTAGCTTACCTTCCTTCTCCCTTGCTCAGAGGTGTAACACCAAAACCTCTGGGAGATCACAGCAGTTAGTGCTGACATCAGTTGGGCAGTGGACATGTAAAGCAGTCAGTGTTCATGATTCTTCTGGTCAGACTTATTAATTACATCTGTACGCTGTGCATGCTGCTCTCTTTATGTTTAGTTCTGACGGTTGATTTTTCTTCACAGGATACAACTTGGGTCCAACTTGGGAGCAAGGTGGGAGGTGTAGGATCCCACCAGAATTGCTGAGCTCTGTAGTTACTTTCTCAGCACCTGTACAGATCAGGTGGGAGCCCATTCTATTGCAGTTCTTGTTCCTACTGCTGGAACGTTATATCAGACAATATGCAGGACTAGCTGATTGGAAGACCTCCCCAGCTCTTTTGCTGAAGAATCTGCTCAGCTATGGCCCAGGAGATCTGGAGGAGTCGCAGAGAGCCTCTGACTCTATTGCTGCTGTCCCCTGTGGGGTGCGTCAGTGGCCTTAACAGCAAGATCAAGAATTCTGTAACATTCACTAAACAAAGAAACCATAGCCACAAGATAAGCAACTGCTCAGCTCAGGATCTCAAAATGCACCATAAAAATTGGCTTGTTCTATATTCCATGTTTTAACATAGGGGAAATTCAGGTGTAGCATTTAAGAATGGGCCATTGATCTGATTATTTATTAAATAGGCCATTGTAAACACACTCCAGTGCTGCTTTCCTGTCAATACATTCAATCCATGAGGTGAGGCG